CAGTATATATACAAATTTAGGGAAAACAGCCTAAGCTGGATATAGGCTACAGCAGTCGGCTTAATTAAATGGCGCAACAGGCAGCTCTCTTTTAACACAGACTTTTAAGAAGGGATGGATGTTTCAAGTGATATTATAACTATAATATATTATTATAATATATATTATATATTGTAAGTGAAATTATATTATCTTGCTGTATGTATGTCGTTTTATTTGCGTTTTCTGACTAAAAGCAACCAAAAAGCCATTTTAAAGTGGTTAAGCAAATAATATAATAATAATAATCGGCAGGGATCCCAGACCAATACAATTAGTGTGCCTCCTCTATTTTAAAACCCACGAGCCGCCACTGAGAATTACATGTCCATTTGGTCAGAAATCTTGCCTATCAAGATAATATGGTATACAGCAAGGGAAGGTCATCATGATTTACCTGCATACTGGAGAAGACAGACAGAGAGCTATAGCCTGAGAGAGACGAATCACTCCGACTGTGCATTGAGCCTTATATGAGAGAACACAAGAGAATAGTAACAGTAACAACAACAATTATTATTACTACTACTACTACTACAACTTATCACTGCTTTAGCGTTTATGGATGCTTTGGTAATACTGTATGTAACAATCATGGCAATACAGAACTTTTAATTTATATTTGATTTGAGGAGTTTGAAGAAAGAGTAGTAACAAACAGTTCAAAGTGAACAAACACCAATTTATTACGCATGAAAATAGGAGGGAAAGTAGTGGAGAAATCTATCGGTCAGTTGTTTAGCAAAGCTGTACTTGTTCTAATATTGTGAAGTAAAAATAAAAAAGATGTACCGGAGCTGTTGCTGTGATGGGAGTGATATACAGGGGAGGTAAAGGACGTGCTCAGGGGTGTATGTGTCTGAGAACAGGAACTGGTGCCCCCTGATCTCCTCTGGTTTCTCAGCTTTTCCTCTCTTCTCCACTTAGCTCTCCGATTGGAGAACCATACCTGTCAATCACCCAATATGGGTCAGTGCATAATGGACAGTGTCTTTATGTATTGTTTAAAGACACTTCAGCATTAACACCATAACATCTCAAAGAGGATCATTCAAATATTTTACAAAGCCAGTATCACCTGAATTCTGGCCTCTGGAAGATCAATCTTTGCAGCCAGTCTCTCTCTAGCAAAGACATCTGGGTAATGAGTCCTTTCAAACTCTGGAAAAAAGATTTAACAGAAGACCAAACATTTAATACAAGCAGAATTGCACATTTTTATTTTTGAAGGGATAGTTTAACCAAAAAATGAGAATGTTGTCATGTAGTTCCAAATCAGCGTGACATTCTACTGTCGAACATTTTGAACCCCATTGACTTTCATTGTATGGACAAAAAAACGTATTTATTTTTCAAAATATCTTCTTTTGTGTTCCACAGAAGAAAAACGTTATTCAGGTTTGAAACAACATGAGGATGAGAAAAAAATGTATGCGAAATGTATAATGTACATGAAAGTATAAGAAAAGGAATGTGGCAGAATATGAAAAAGATCCGTCTTTCCCAAACGCAAAAAGCAAAAACAATCCCACACAAATACATCCTCTCTAGGACTGAGATTATTTTGCATGGAAAGCTCAGTGCGAGCCAGCGCTTTGAGTCACACCTTTCTCCAGGGCATCTATCTGCTCCTGGGTGAAGCTGGTGCGGTTCCTCTGCAGCTTCCTCTTTAGCTGCAGGTGTAGCTGCGACTCGTCCACCTCATCCCTCTCTCCCTGCACCACTACTTCCCCTGCTCCGGCCATCTGCACATTCAGATCATCCACACAACCATCTGAGAGAAAAATACCCCATTAAACTTCAGAGAGTCTTGTAAGATTGCTGCGTTTCAGTGTGCCAATGTGTGTGTTATTATATAGACAGAACTGTCTCTTTGAAGACTGTGTAATTCTAGTACGCTGCAGCATCTTGTGTTTGACAGTTTGACCTTATTTGCGTACGTGTGAATAAGCAGCAACTGTATTATGGGCATCTAATTCTGTGTCTAATGTCTGCTCGCTTTAGTTCCGCCTCCTGTAATGAAACAGAGGATGTCAAGGCCAGAGACTGCCGTGTTTGTATGTGGGTGTACATGCGTGGCTGATGGTGTAGCTGTTGGCACCCTCTGTTTGTGCTCAGTCAAGTATAAGAATTGCTGGTTCACCCCAAAGCTGACTTCACAAACACAAGCACACATACAGCGTACATTCACACACAGAGGTGCTTTACTAATAATACATAAAGATATCACTCAGTAACACTCACGTACCTGTTCCGTGTTGAGGAGTGATGGTGTCGGCCGGGTGGTACCAGTTGTTTGGGCCAGTCCAGTTGGAGCCGTTTTGTAAGTTCAGCATGGTCAGATTGTCATACATCAAATGCCACCTGTGAGAAAACACTGACCCTCTCCTTCTATCATCCAGACCACTCCAACCCTGAATGAAGGACGGAAGAGGTAAGTAAAACTGTGAAAAAAGGTCATCGGAAAAATCAAATACAATAAATTCAGTATTTATGTGCAGTAAACGGCTCTTGTATTTCATTCTTTAGGCCTATGTTGTGTCACCAATTTAGTATTGCATTTCCATGGCTTTGATTAGCTGATCATGTTGATGTTTTATAACAGAGAATAGCATTTAATTTAATTTATTAAATTATTAATAATTTAACTTAACAGTAAACACATCAGGTAACATTTCTTTATTCATCTTTTAAAACTTTTTATGTTTTAATTTTCTATAATGATCAAATTTTTTTGGCCTTCCTTCAGTCTTTGTTTCCAACATCTCCCTGCTATAGTATACTAACAACTATGCCCTTTTTTTGGAAAACAACAAATATGGAAACAAAAGCTAGCATTTTAGTAAAAACCTTGATTTTGGTTTTGTGCCAACCCTGTTATTATCTTATTTATCCATTTTTAAAATAATGAACTATTCCATATTTGTCATAATGACATCATTGTCATTTCAGAAGTTAACTCTCCAATGACAAGTTAAAGTCCATTTACTGTTATCCATTTATCTTATGTTTTATGTATATCTTAAAATGTCAACCCTGTTTTCGTGATTTTCTATAGTAAACATTTGACTTTAAAACATTTCAAAGTGGTTATATGTAAAAAAAATCCACCCTGTTACCTTTCTGAAGGAATAGCTACACCCAGCATTTATTAAAATGTAGTAGTAATTTTTCTTGAGATGACACAATGCAATTTCTTAACACTTAAAAAAATTACTTATACAAAAATGTAATTAAAATTGTCGCATCAAACTAGATCAAACTAGCATGACTGACCCATCTGATGTCTTTAAAGTATGTTACTATTGCGTCGTAAACTCTCTTTATCTATCTATCTCTCTATGTATCTTTCATACATACACACAACCATACATTAACCCCCACAGACACACACACACACACACACACACACACACACACACACATACAGAGAGTAATTAAGAAGTAAGGAACATCTAGTCTGACTTCGTCGTACACACACGCTTGACTGGAGAGAGTAATACTGTCAGCTAATGTTAACAACAATACACACAGATACACACACATGCTACACAACAGAGAGACACACTCCAACAAAACAAAGAGATAATTATAGATACAATGCACACAATGGCACACAATCCACGTTTTCGACTACAAACTGACTACACAACAAAACTCAGTACAAAAATGGAGACATGAAGCCACCAACCAAAATGCAAGTGTATTTAAGTCACACAAAAAAGCCAGCACCTGCACATAATTTATAGAGCAGTGTTCAGCTAAATTAATAAATGCTGCTGAAGAGTTAGAAAAAAATATCACTGGTTCCACTGATAGTTCTACATGTAAAACTACTAACATACATGGAAAGGAGGCCGTCGTCATGAATACTATAGATCTAGCCATTTAAATAACCTAGAAGTGCTTGTATAATAATATTCGCATTGGTTTTGAGAGTAAACCATGGCCCTCAAAGGCAAATAATGATCTAGAACAGAAGGAGAAACAAAATATAGAGAAGTGACATGTGGCGGAACAACACAGATTAGGGTGCAAGAAAAAATTGTATTTCAGCTGTATTTATTAGTGTATATTTCCAAAAAATAAAATGTAATATATATTATTATTACAATACGTAATAATAATAAACATTATTAGAGCTCAGATATGCCCAGGAAATTAACAGTTAAATATTGATACAATCCATATACAAAGGCTTCTTTTATATACAATACATGCTGACTTGTGTATATAATAAAATATACAATGAATTTATAAAGTATAATAGTAAATCAATAAATAAATAATAAAATAATGCCGACATGTATATAGACATGTAAAAATGTGAAAAGGTTTTGCACTAATTGAAATGAACTAGTTCAATTAATTAAATATGACTTTGTATGACTCTCAAGCAAAGACAAATACAAGCACATTTAAATTATTTAAATGTTGCCTTTGGTGGTGTAACACAACATATTGTTGTAGCCTATACAAAACAGAAAATGTCAAAGGTCAAGTCTTCCATAACCTTTCCACAATTAACCAGTAATTTTCCCAAATCTATTTTGTTTTTCCAATAAAAGAGTCATGAATCTGTTAATGTCTCAGTCGCTGTGTAGGCAGTGAAGGCAGGAGACTCACCTGGTAGATGAATGAATTGTAAAAGTGGTCCACACTTGCTCAGTGTCTCTATCACTTTCTGTTCATCCCTCTCTCCTTCTCTCTGTTCTCTTGCTTTGTTAATGTTAGACTGTGTTGAAGAGAGAAAGAGAGAGAGAGAGAGAGAGAGAGAGAGAGAGAGAGAGAGAGAGCATGGGAGGAGAGGAAAGCGAGAGAAAGATGGAGAGAGTTAGACACGGCGAAAGAGAGGAGGCGAGGGAGGGGTAGTGGGCTACAGAGAAATGCATCTGCAGGCACTCTGGTCCTTGAAGCAATGAGGGAGAGTGGGAAAGAGAGAGAGAGAGGGATGACACACAGAGTCAGTGTCAGTGTCAGGTCTGGACTTAATGCCAGGAAAAGGGGTGATGAAGTGAGAGAGAGAGGTGGAGGCAAAAAAAAATGACTGAAAAAGAGGAGACGTACAGCTATTTCTAAAGTATCACAAAGGCAATTCGCTTTTTTGTAGATACGGACTTCCAAAAATGGCTAACCTAAGAGCTGTGAGACAGCTTCAGATCATGCACCTGCTCTGATGGCCAGCGGTCAGTGATAGTTTAACCCTGCACTGCTGTGATCAACACAAATGTATATGAGAAGTAATTTCAAAGTTAACTTAATTCAAATGTGTTCCTATGAAATCATCAAATGTCGTATGCTGACATAAATGAAGCATTAACCCTTTGATTTATCATAAAATATTCAAATGCATCTCAGACTAACAACGTTGTTCTGTTTGACCCCAGTGATGTATATTTTCTTGCTACTTCACATCAGTCAAAGAGTGATTAAAAAATGTATTGCAGTTTCCACAAAAATATCAAAATTGATAATTGCCTCCGATTGGCCATTGCATTCATAAGCTCAACAGACTCGTGTGTGATTGGTTATAATGCGCACCAACAAAACAAAGAGATAATTATAGATACAATGCACACAATGGCACACAATCCACGTTTTCGACTACAAACTGACTACACAACAAAACTCAGTACAAAAATGGAGACATGAAGCCACCAACCAAAATGCAAGTGTATTTAAGTCACACAAAAAAGCCAGCACCTGCACATAATTTATAGAGCAGTGTTCAGCTAAATTAATAAATGCTGCTGAAGAGTTAGAAAAAAATATCACTGGTTCCACTGATAGTTCTACATGTAAAACTACTAACATACATGGAAAGGAGGCCGTCGTCATGAATACTATAGATCTAGCCATTTAAATAACCTAGAAGTGCTTGTATAATAATATTCGCATTGGTTTTGAGAGTAAACCATGGCCCTCAAAGGCAAATAATGATCTAGAACAGAAGGAGAAACAAAATATAGAGAAGTGACATGTGGCGGAACAACACAGATTAGGGTGCAAGAAAAAATTGTATTTCAGCTGTATTTATTAGTGTATATTTCCAAAAAATAAAATGTAATATATATTATTATTACAATACGTAATAATAATAAACATTATTAGAGCTCAGATATGCCCAGGAAATTAACAGTTAAATATTGATACAATCCATATACAAAGGCTTCTTTTATATACAATACATGCTGACTTGTGTATATAATAAAATATACAATGAATTTATAAAGTATAATAGTAAATCAATAAATAAATAATAAAATAATGCCGACATGTATATAGACATGTAAAAATGTGAAAAGGTTTTGCACTAATTGAAATGAACTAGTTCAATTAATTAAATATGACTTTGTATGACTCTCAAGCAAAGACAAATACAAGCACATTTAAATTATTTAAATGTTGCCTTTGGTGGTGTAACACAACATATTGTTGTAGCCTATACAAAACAGAAAATGTCAAAGGTCAAGTCTTCCATAACCTTTCCACAATTAACCAGTAATTTTCCCAAATCTATTTTGTTTTTCCAATAAAAGAGTCATGAATCTGTTAATGTCTCAGTCGCTGTGTAGGCAGTGAAGGCAGGAGACTCACCTGGTAGATGAATGAATTGTAAAAGTGGTCCACACTTGCTCAGTGTCTCTATCACTTTCTGTTCATCCCTCTCTCCTTCTCTCTGTTCTCTTGCTTTGTTAATGTTAGACTGTGTTGAAGAGAGAAAGAGAGAGAGAGAGAGAGAGAGAGAGAGAGAGAGAGAGAGAGAGAGAGAGAGAGAGAGAGAGAGAGAGAGAGAGAGAGAGAGAGAGAGAGAGAGAGAGAGAGAGAGAGAGAGAGAGAGAGAGAGAGAGAGAGAGAGAGAGAGAGAGAGAGAGCATGGGAGGAGAGGAAAGCGAGAGAAAGATGGAGAGAGTTAGACACGGCGAAAGAGAGGAGGCGAGGGAGGGGTAGTGGGCTACAGAGAAATGCATCTGCAGGCACTCTGGTCCTTGAAGCAATGAGGGAGAGTGGGAAAGAGAGAGAGAGAGGGATGACACACAGAGTCAGTGTCAGTGTCAGGTCTGGACTTAATGCCAGGAAAAGGGGTGATGAAGTGAGAGAGAGAGGTGGAGGCAAAAAAAAATGACTGAAAAAGAGGAGACGTACAGCTATTTCTAAAGTATCACAAAGGCAATTCGCTTTTTTGTAGATACGGACTTCCAAAAATGGCTAACCTAAGAGCTGTGAGACAGCTTCAGATCATGCACCTGCTCTGATGGCCAGCGGTCAGTGATAGTTTAACCCTGCACTGCTGTGATCAACACAAATGTATATGAGAAGTAATTTCAAAGTTAACTTAATTCAAATGTGTTCCTATGAAATCATCAAATGTCGTATGCTGACATAAATGAAGCATTAACCCTTTGATTTATCATAAAATATTCAAATGCATCTCAGACTAACAACGTTGTTCTGTTTGACCCCAGTGATGTATATTTTCTTGCTACTTCACATCAGTCAAAGAGTGATTAAAAAATGTATTGCAGTTTCCACAAAAATATCAAAATTGATAATTGCCTCCGATTGGCCATTGCATTCATAAGCTCAACAGACTCGTGTGTGATTGGTTATAATGCGCAACACTGTAAAAACGCGTAAAAATCATGGCGCAAAATTGAGTAGATCTAAATTTAATGCTAAATTTAGATCTAAATTTAATGCTTTGAATTTCTCTGGATTTACAAATCCCTGGGAGCTTTTGGTATAACATAAATGCACAACTGCATGAAATATATCACACTGTGCAAGTGGTTTTTGGATATTTTATTACGAAAATCTTTTTCTTGAGCACCAAATCAGCATATTAGAATGATTTCTGAAGGATCATGTGACACTGAAGACTGGAGTAATGATGCTGAAAATTCAGCGTTGCAGTCATATGACTTTTTAAAACACATTGAAATAGAAAAGTTATTTTAAATTATATTTTTCGATTTCAGTTTTATTTAATAAGTCATTTATTCCTGTGGTCAAAACTGTTTTTTTTTTTTATATTGCTGTTTTACAGTATTTTAAATCAAATAAATGCAGCCGAGCATAAGTATTAAATTATAATTTTAGTATATTTTTAAAGCTTTTAAATTGGCCTTGGAGCCTACACTCTCCACAACACTCCACTACACAAAAATAAAGGTGCTTCACGATGCCATAGAAGAACCTTTTTGTCATATATCATATATCATATAGATATAGAAGCTGCTGTGCTGAAAAGCTCTTTCAATGAACAACAGACCATTATATTCTTAAATTATAAAACAAGACACTGCCATCTTCATGAGAAGAGAAATTTCACACATTACTCTGTTCTCTGTATGTTCCATGCTCGCTAGTACGATTACATGCAAACATGAGGCATGTTTACCCTCCACTGCACTTTGTGACAATCCCAATGCTATATTTGCATATTTTATTGGATTAACTTTAAAAACCAAAGAACCTGTGACACGTTAAAATACGAGAGAAAAACAGAAAGAGAGACTTGTAGGTCTGATACCGGAGACTCAGCCAACATTACTTACAAGCATGACCATTTTGGTTCTAGTTAATATGAAAGGTTCAACTTAAGCAAATAAATAGGAGGCCACTTTATGCTCACTTTTGAAGTAAGAAGAAGGATCAAAGGGGTTCATTTTGAATCAGAGAATCATGAGCTATTTTATTGTGTACTGATATGTTTCTTTTTTTCATGCATTCACTCTAAGGTAAATGGTTTTCAACCAGAGGGCCGGGACCCACTAGGGGGCATCAGCAAACTTTCAAGGTGGCCCCAATGAGTTGTTATATTACTTTATTAAAAGTTAGTTATATTAACAAAATCTTAATTTAAAATGCTAAGAAAAACCATGTTTATTTTTACTACAACAGACATACCAATGATACATATATCAGCTTAGGCAGGAGGGCCTTTGAAAAGGACAAAAAGTGGACAAAAACCTTTTCGGATAAAAGTGTGCCTTGAAGACAAAAAGGCTGAGAACCACTGGCTGCAAAAACTTTAAATGAGAAAGTATTATGTCAATAAACAGAGATTACTTATGGGGTCAGAGTAGATCTACACAAATTTTAAAAGGATATTCATCTAAAAATGCAAATTTTGTCATTGGTTACTTACTCTTACGTCTTTCCAGATCTGTATGACTTTCTTTCTTCTGTGGAACGCAAAGTTTAGCACATATTCAGCATATTCACACATCTCTTTTCTAATGAAAGTGAATGGTGACTAAATGAGCTGCCAAGCTTCCAAAATGATATTGGTCTGATCAAAGCTACTGTATTACTTCAGAAGACTTGGAATATAGTGCAGGAGTCATGTGGACTACTCTTATGTCACTTTTATGGTACTTTTTGGTGACCCCTAGTCACCATTCACACCAGTCATTGTATGGAAAAGAGCATCTCCTAAACATCTCCTTTGTGTTCCAGACATCCCTCAGGTCGGGAACGACATGAGGGTGAGTAAATGATGACAGAACGTTCATTTTTCACATCTCTTTAATGTGACAAGCACCATCAGGTCAACAGACACTGTCACGGCACAAACAAATCACAAGGAGTTTCGTGTAGTTGCAGTACACGCATGATAGCGAAGGAACTGAAACAGAAAAAGAGAAATAGGAAGACATAACGAGGCCATGGATGTATCCTTGTAGAAAAAAAAACAAGGAAGGGGGACA